GGAATTTTTCCTCAAACACACCACAGCCTCGCCTCGACTCAGTATCTAAAGTTCACGCTGACCTTTGAGGGAATCATTCTTCTCTTGATGTTTGTGCGTGTGTGTATACAATAAGATGAGCCTGCCTCCACCTGTGTGTTCTCCTCCCTACGTCACCTCAGCTCACATCGTACCAGCCCCAGCGTGCAGGAATGCCTGGATCCGAGCCAAGACTCTGCTAGAGATCCACATCAACCCCGGCCCGGATCATCCCCAAGTCCAGCCTGGCAATTTACAGCTGCCATCGCAAAACAGAGCCCAGAGAGAGACAATAGCACCTTATACACATGCACACATGTACAGGCCTTTGAAATCTCAACCAAGTACAGCAGCTTTAATCATAAGTATAAAGTGTAAGAGATGTATGAGCTCAGAGGACATAGAACAGTCTCTCCTAACAACCTCTTGGAAAAAAAAAGCTTTTTTTGTGATTTAACCTTGTATACAGGGACTTATGTCATCATCGTAGGGAGCTCAGGCAAAGCAAAAGAAAGTGGGAAAAGGAAAGTGATTAATCACATATCAATATCATTACGTTAAACAAACTTTTGGTCAAGAACTTAGTACTGTTTGACTACTCATTCATCAGTGTGTTGCTTTGGTTTTTAGCCCAAGAAACTCAAAAAGGAAGAAAGAACAAAAAAGAAAGAAAAGAAAAACAAATAAAACAATTTGAAACGAGAAAGAGAAATGGAAAGGGGTTTTAAACAACTGAGGTTTAAATTAAATTACTTTTTAAAAAAATCGATACATTAATTATTGTTATATTAGTTATATTATATTTTCTTAATTTTTTTTCATATTATATTCCTTTGGGATTTATATATATATATATATATATATATATATATATATATATAGAGAGAGAGAGAGAGAGAGAGAGAGAGAGAGAGAGAGAGAGAGAGAGAGAGAGAGAGAGAGAGAGAGAGAGAGAGAGAGAGAGAGAGAGAGAGAGAGAGAGAGAGAGAGAGAGAGAGAGAGAGAGAATTAAAGTACCCATTTTCTGTTTATTTAAACTCATTTCTGTCAAGGATAACGAAATAAGACATTAAAGATCTCTCACATAAGATATTTCTTTCCTACAGAAAGCCATCCACAATTTCAGCTGATTTTAATGGTATGAGGGCGAATAAAATAGAGAGTTGAATTGTCAAGGAGCGGAACACGAATCACTCGGCTTGATTAATACCGAACAACACAGGCTTTCCTTCCTGTTGGAGGCGGTGGCTTTTACATGTTCTTATTTGTGCGGCTTTACTTGTCTTACATAAGTAACACATTTTCTCTTTCAGATCAAGATTTACTTCGACATTTGTTTTTAATTGTTCCTAAGCCTCTCCTTCAATCTCTGATGGTGCTTTTAAGTTTGTGCTTCAGTCACATAACAGTAATCCGGTCCCTGGACGGAATTAGTTGCCATATGAAATTTCTCAACAAGAGGCTTTTGGCTAAAGAAATAAATAAGAAAGTAAAACCTTGAGCTTGAAGTTCTGATAAGCCTCTAACGCTGTAATCTAAACATCTGTTATCTTTAAAACAAGTGACATTGTAATTCCTGAAAAGACAAAGTCTCAATCTCTCCGTCTCTCTGAGCTCATTGTACAAAATGTGAAAGGATGAAACAGAGAGAAGGGCAATTTAAAAGTGGTTTGATTTGGGCAACGGACAGTGCCAAACAACTCTGGAGAAAACCAGAACTGGTTTTCCGAGCCAGCGCTGTATTCTGTTACATGCCTGATGGTTTTATTTGGACCCCGTTCAGTCCCGTTTACAGAATCCAGTGATGTGATCAGTTACATCAGCAATAAAGGTCTAAAGCGCCGCTTAACATGTGAGCCAAAACAGTAGCGCTTTGATGGGGAGACTGGCTCTTTAAACCATGCACACGCTCCATGCTAACAGCGGGGAAACCCAATCCTTGCATGCTGTTTTACCACTCAACTTTTACGTCTTCTACATGAAGGCTGAAGAGCTTGTTTGGAGTACTAATTAACTCAAAAGCTGTTGTATATTAAGAGCACTGGGCATTTTTTTGTAGAGCTAGCTCTAATGAAAACAGAGTGCCAAAGAACTGCATTAGCAAGCCTCCTCATCTCGCTTCCCATCGCATCGTACTCTTGTCTTATGACTTTCTCTTCTTCTTCTTTACGACAAGCCATGGCCTCTAGAGACGGAAGTTAAATGGGTCACAAAGCGAGGCAATGCTAATGATATATGAAAACAAAGTCAGAGAAGATAAAAAGCATAATAAGATACAGGTCCTAAGCCTGACTTTCTTGGTGTCCGTTTCTGGTTGTGTTCTGGTCTTACAATTTGTGATTAGAACCCAGTGTAACAGCAGCAGATAGAGACTGTCTCTTGTGCTAGATGCATGGTACAGACCATTAAGATCATTACAAATCACACTGTATGACATGGATCTAATAAACTTGTGCACAACATTGTGGCAAGCAGGGCGCGACCGAGAGCCGTGGGAACGGAGCGAGTTCGGTGGCGTGAGTGCTAATGAGCCACACCAGCCTCGAGTGTCTTACGGAGGAGCAACAACAGTGAAGGACGAAAGAGGACCAGGCCTAGACTTTATGTTGTCTTTTGTATATGTTTGTGTACTTTACTTTGGTTTTGTGTTTGAAAACTGTGATACATTAAAAACGTCTCTTAAGCTCACCTAGGATGCATTTATTTGATCAAAAATATGGTAAAAAAGTAATATTCTGAAATATTATTACAATTTAAAACATCTGTTTTCATTTTTTTTTTTCTATTTTAATATATTTTTAAAATGCATTCCTTTGATGGCGTCACATGATCCTTCAGAAACCATTCTCATATGCTGATTTGGTTCTCAATAAGCATTTCTTAGTATTAACAAGGATGAAAACAGTTGTGGAAACTGTGATGTTTTTTTGTTTTTGTTTTTATGAATAGAAAATGAAAAATAATTATTTGTAACTTTACTGTCACTTTTGATCAATTTAATGTGTTTTTGTTGAATACAAATATTAATATATTTTTTTATTTATTAGAAAGACCCTAAACTTTTGAAAGGTGGTGCACGCGCACAATACAATGTGACAGTAAACTATTATGCTGTATCTCTATTTTTTGGAAAGGCTAGCTTGTTAGAGTAAAAGCTATAATATGTTGACAGCTTAGGTCATGTCATGCTGCCAAAAAAGTTATGTTAACATAGCTACTTATGTTAGCAACTCTTCAGTGCACTGCAGGAATGACAATATAGTGTAGCCCAGCTGTTTAGGATGAGCTCTGTCGCTAGTTTCCACTCGAAAAGGTAATTAAACTGTTCACCCAAACTCTTACTCCACTGCTACCGTCTGAACACACAGTAAGCATGTAGGGGCCTGTCTACTGGAAAGTGAAGAGCGCTGATTCTCACACACATGGCGTGGTGGAGTGCGCATAACAGGCGTTAGTAGCACAGTGGCTAGTTCTGTGGGCTCTTCAACAGCACAAGCCTTTAACAGATTGGGTCTTTCTCTTGAGAAGTGCACTTCACTTGACAGAGGTTTTACGTTTTACTGCCGAGCTATAAATCTGTCGTGCTTCGGGCTGTGTAAATAAGACAGTGGTTTGTTTTTACCTGACACATCTGAGCAGAGAAAGTAAGAAAGGCAGATGGTTAACCTCACAATGAATGGTACAGCGTTGAGAAGAAAACCTCCTGGATTCCATTCTGAGGGCCTCAAGCTTACGGGCTTTGAAGTATATGTCAAATGCACAGGAAGATATGAGACGTGAAATAGAGAGTGAAAAGTGAGGACTGAGAGGTAGAGAATGAAATAAGTGTGTAAAAAGTGATGAAAAATGTGAGAGAAGACCAGCTGACATCATGGTGAATTGGGTGTGAATCTAGGAGAGAAAGGAGGAGTGGGGAATGTTGTACCTGTCTCCAATGAAAGCAAGCGGGGAAAAAAATAAGAGGAAGAAAGTATCTCCAGGCATGGGCTGCTCTCATTGCCCTTGGCTTTTATGTGTGTATGGTGTGTGTAAAGACCTTGACCACTGCCACTGACCAGCTTGTGTACGTCCATGTCTCTGACTGGGTGGTCTGCTAACCTTGCTTGATGAAGCACCACATACCACACAAACCAACAGCCCTCTCACAAACACACACAAAGGCACACTCATTCTTCTACTGCATCTTTCCCCCTTCTTTCTTCGCATATACGTCACATTTATTTATGGCAGTCTTGTAAGCATTCTTTTTATTCTCCCTCTCCCATTTTGTTTCATTTCACATAATTGCTTGACGGAGGGGGGGAAAAGTGCAATCCACTTTGTGGCGAGAAAACGGATTTGGGTGACCACAGTGTGTACTTTGCAACTAATCCAATTCAATTATTTTAAGCAAAAAGCAAACTTTCAATGAGCCTATTCTTGAAGCACACTTATAAAGAGAGACCTTCAAAAGATCACTCAAACTGACTTAAGCAAGCAGCAAATATTTGCAAAAGGCAAGGTTTGTCCAAATTACGTGTCAACACGGTATGTTTACAGGATTGTCGGCCGCAACGAAGTTCAAGCAAATGAACGCAAAGTGATTTTTCCAATATTGGACAATGGGAAACGGGGCAAACAGTGGCGCCTGTGCTGTTTTTCCAAAGCCGCTGCCACGTCACCGCACTGGGATGGTGTAATTTCAGAGGCATTTATCACCGGCTTTCATGTCTCAAACCCTTAGGGCACTTTTCCACAAAACATGCAAACAGGCACCACTTGGTGTCATTAAGCTTTCTCTCATTTCAGTTTTTTTTCTCTTCCTTCATTAATTAGGGAGTGATAATTATTCTACCCATCTATAGCCCCTTCCGAATTAACATTGGCCAATTATCCTGATTGGTGACAGTTGTAACATGATTGATGACAGTTTTAAAAACAAAGTAACGGTTTTTGACAGAAGCGCATAAGAGGAGATGAAGACGTGAAAGTCAAGCACTGACCTGGATCTGCTGCTGGAGGAGATTGATTTTGTGCTGTTGCTGCAGAAGTTGCTGCTGTTGTCTGGCAATCTGCGAAAGCAAAGTGATTCATTTAGCTGAACACCGTCAGAAACCTTTAACCCTGGCCTAAAACATTAAAGGATGTACATTATCATAGTCTTGGAGAGCGCAACTGGATTTATTGTACCATGTATTTAAGCAGACAGATAATATATGCAATCAGAGCTTGTGGGTAACATCTCTCGTTCACCAATTGACCCTAATGACTGTAATCAGAGGCCTGCTAATGTGTATTATACCCAGCTCCAGGCCTGGCCGGGGCGATGCGCCAAAGGGTGAAAGACTGGCATGTTTATGCAACCTAGGAGTGGTCGGGTCTGCCCAAGGGTGGGCTCTCGACGTTAAGCGCATTGCATCCTCCCTCTCTCTCCATCTATCCCAGCCCCTGCAGACTCCCCCGTTCCTCCTCCTCAGTTAGCCTGACAGCCTAGGTTTAAGTGTCATTTAATTTTCATTTTCAAATATAATTACAAAGTGTTCACTGTAAGATTTCACCCGTCTGCAAATGTGTCAGGATTAATTTGTGCTGGCTTCTTCACTAGTGTCAACAGTTAATTACTGTGTCGTGTCTGGATGGCTAAATGACATCCTAACTTCAGGCTCCCCTCCTCCTCCCTTTCTCTCTAGCTCTTTTCTATCCTCTCCCTCCATTTTGTTTGTCATTAATGGAAAGGGATGCATTCTTGAACATTTGCGAAACTGTAAATTCCTGCAATAACCGTTTATTAAAATCAGCTGAGCATACAATGAAGATACAATTCTCATAAAGTTGGATATTAATGTAGAGAGTCGGGTGACATTAATAGGACGAATTCAGAAATGAGCGTATCCGCTTCAGGTAAACGCAGACCACATTAATATGCACCTATTCATCTGCATAATAAATTGACAGCAATTATATGGTTTCGCCATAAAAAAAGCTGTGAAGATGGAGATGTATCTTGTGCGACATTAACGGAGCTCATGAGCTGCTGATGCCTTCAGTACGCCTCATTTGATAGAGCTACACATGCTTCTCATGCAAAGTTTGAATTAATAGTGATCAATTTCCCTACCAATTTACGTGCTTCCATATTTGATCAATTATGTACAATAACCATTACTTTGTGCATCCATCCTCACAACCACAGAGCCTGATTTATCAAGGAAAAAAATCAAGCCATAAATTTAATTAAAATATTAAATTGCTAAATAGAAGGACTCATTACCAATTTAAAAGTAATGTAAAAAATAAAAGTATAAGAGTAATCTTGTTTTAAATGCTTCTTCTGATAAATGAGGCTGTAAAATAAGAATATGTGATGCATGGCTGATAAGATCTTCACTAGATAGCTTTAAACAAAACAACTGGGTTTAGACGGTAAGCCAGTGAGAGACGGTTTGGGGAGAATTAGCTTCCTTTTAAATAATGATTATGTATTTTAACTGAATTGGTAACACCCCACTTGAAGTTGAATTGAAATGACAGAAAGAGGAATTTACTGAATTGAATTGAAATTCAAAACAGTTAATAGATTCTGGGAAATGAAGTTCTCCCACACTGGTCCACTAACATTAATTAAAATGTTAAATTAAATATGATGATATATACAAACTAAGGACAAATTCCTAATTGTTAAAACAATTAAAATGTTGCTATTTTAGTTAAAACTTGCAGTTTCAAATTCAAATTCAAATTTTAATTCTACATCTTGTTTGCAATTGATTTTCAATTCAAATGAAGTTCCGATTCAGGAACAGACTTTAATTCTGATTTATTGAATTCTGACTTTTGACTTCTGAATGGCGCTCCACCCTGGTGTGCACATTCTCACCTGCTCTTGCTGTTGGCGTGCCAGCTCCATTTGCTGACGTTGTTTCTCCATCTGCGAGGCGGCCAGTTTCTTCTGCTCATCATGGGCGGCCAGGAGCTGCTCGCGCAGGCTGATGAGCTGTGTGATCATGGTGGAGAGCTGTCGCTCCTTCTCTGCAAGACTTTCTGGAGTACCTGCGACAGAACACATGCAGTCAAACGAAATAAACCAATGGCAAGAACAGAAACAAAGTCTTCTCCCCATGACCCGGTACACTCTCCCAGCAGTGAAAAGAAAAGGTTTACATATCATGTTACAACAGCCAGATGTCCCTCACCTCTTAAATATAGTCTCTATATGAATGCAAAGGTCAGTTATCCTAGAGACAGAACAGCAAACAAAGCAAGTGCTGCAAAACAGATCCTTGTTAATTGATCTGCGCATCAGAGATATAAAAAGCTCCCACAATCGAGACGCTCATGAGATCAGCAAGTTTTTTTTCTCTCTCTCTCTCTTGAGAGGGCAGGACAGAGCCAGCAAATGCTGAGCATCCGAACGGATACAGTACATATCAGTCAAGAGAATTCCTGAAGACCACAGAAGGCGGTCCAGGAGGGAAACTCTAGCTCCTTCAAAGCCGAGAATGGTATCATCCAAACAGCCCAAGTCTAACAACGGAAAGGCTTCAATAAAAGTGCGAAGGTCGCGAGTCCCTCACTCTCTCTTTCCACTTCTGGTGATCGCGGCTTCTCTGAGAGATGGTGAGGAATGGAATTGTTCCTATTAAATAAGAGGAGCTGTCACAAAACGAGTGAAGGTGGCAGATTAGTGACAGACAATACAGGGCAAGTGTGTGTGCGTGCTGGCGACAGTCGCATGACTGGAGGCGCTGCCATGTAATGACTGCTCTCAATTCTCATTAAGGGAGGAGTAGACACAAACACCTCGGAGCTGACGTGCCTCTCGCAAACAGGGTCACCGTCACCTCTGTATCCTCTCATTATCTCTCTTGTGTCTCTAACCAAAGCATAATCACACCAGAAAATGTGCATGCCTCCTGCACGTCCTCCCATGAGGCTGCGCTGTACCTTAAGCTAATCAATGCTAAGTGATCCTGCCTCCGGACAGTAGGCTAACCTGCTGCTGCATGAGAACAGTACGATTGGCTTGGCTAGCAGCCAGCTCAGTGTTAAATTCTTTCCTGGGTGTCTTCCTGTGCTCCCCTGGCCACATCTGTCTTGAGTTTCTCTGAAGCGGCTCCCTGGGGCCCGCTCGAGTTCAACTATTTTAATTTGACTAAACACCTGATTTATTTTATGTCTCTGATGAGGAAGGCCGTTTGTCTTAATAGGGCCTGTCAACCTCCAGCCCCCATTCAGAGCAATTTACTGGCCGGGCCTGCACGGCAGCAATAAAGGAGAGAGGCTGCAATTCTCCATTTACCCTCTCTCTCAAAAAAGATACCTAAAAAGCGCCCATTCACTGCTACTGCATGTGGTTTCCTTGGGTCTGAATTGACTTTTTATTCAGCAGACTACACTTGTTGTGTATGGCTTATCTGTAAAATTGATACATTTGCTACCGATTTTATTAACCTTTGGCTTGAGCCATGAACAGCCGTATTTAGCGGCTGCTGCTGTCGGGACTGACATCTGCCCCCGTGCAAGCTCAGAAAGAGAAGGGGAGTCAGAAGGAGGTGGGGGCGGCAGAGCATCTCTCAGTGGACGAAGGGAAAGACACTTCACCAAGTCAGAAGGGCTGTTGGATGTCAAATAGCATAACTTGCCCCTCCTCCCAACAGAGAATCTCAGGGGCCTCTGGGGGAGGACAGGACTCATATCTTACTGAGGGGCAAACATCTGGACTCAATTCTGCCCACTCAGGAGCTCTCTGGACAACCCTCCAACTCAATCACACATTTCAATCACACAATCCACTGCACTCGGTACTGAGATACAACAGTCAGGACTACACTTCCATAAGGATACATTCCGTAATTATCATTTTTCAAACTACATATATATATATATATGTTTGGAAAATAATTATATATATATATATATATATATATATATATATATATATATATATATTATATATAGAGAGAGAGAGAGAGAGAGAGAGAGAGAGAGAGAGAGAGAGAGAGAGAGAGAGAGAGAGAGAGAGAGAGAGAGAGAGAGAGAGAGAGAGAGAGAGAGAGAGAGAGAGAGAGAGAGAGAGAGAGGTAACGATTGCATGCATGTTACAGTAGCCAAGTTTTACAGAGAGGCCGCAGATTGTGGAGGACCCAGCACAGGTTCTGTGTATGCAGAGTGCTGGTCTGCACAAACACCAGCAGCATACTAACAGAGGCTCCATTGTTTCGTCTCCGGCTCGATTGTCCAGAGCTCACCCCTACCACCCCACCCCACTACCAAAATGTCTTCCTGCTTCTCTCTCACCCCTGTTTTTCCCTCCTCATATTTCTGCCCTGTTCTGGTCCTACCTCATTGTTTTCTGACTAAAGCAGACAACTTCTCAGTGGATAATGGAAAGTTGAATGTCTTGAAAGATGTGCACTTGAATAGCAAACAATAGGCTAATATTTAACAATATTATACACGATATTGTGTAAAAAATTATAGCTATTACATAATGAATAACAATCTATATATATATATATATATATATATATATATATATGCATTTATTTATTTACTTGAATGGATAAAACTCAATTGTGAGAATTACATGAGAATTGTGCATATTTTGGTACTCCTGTTTTGGTAAAGAAAATCATGTTCTTTCTGCATTGAATTATAGATTTCTTTTAAAAGCAGATAAAACTTTTATTGGCAGGGGAGCATGGGGGGAGCTCGCTCTGTATCTGTCTGCAGAGTGCTGACAAAGAGAGCACTGGTGCATATTGCATTGCTCTTAACGGCAGTGAGTCTGGCTGCTCTTGTAAAGGTGTCTCCTTGCATTGTCGTTCTGGCTTGACAGGGTCTGGCCAGGAGATTTTAAATAATGAGAGAAGGTTTGGTTTGTCTAATTCATCAACGAAGACATAAGATTCCACTCAGGACCTTTGGCTGAGGGGGAAAAAGAAAGAATGGGCAAGAATATGCAAGAGAGGCGACATCAACAGAACATTTACCTTCCTCTCCCTTCACTGTCACAAACCAGATTGGATGACATTTCCAACAATGTCCAACTCGAATACCGGAGAGAAACAACTGCGACTGCAGTGAATGAGCGAGAGAGGGAGCTGTCAAAGAGAGGGGCCACCAGATAAAAGACACTTTGTAGGGGTGCGATTTGTTCTGTCCAACAGCCATTCTCCCACCCCAGGCCAACCCCCCCCCCTCTCTCTCTAATCAAGGAGTCCCTAATTTGAGTTCCAAGTCCAGCACCAAGGGAAGAGAGGGCAGCTTGTAACTTTGAAGAGTCCCAAGTGAATAAGAGAGATAAAAGATCCAGGCACACACTAGGAAGAAAGAGGAGGAAAAAAAGAAGGGGCGAAAGAGGGAAAAACTCTATTCTCTTCTCTTCCTTTGGATGGGACAGCTGAACCATTATGACTAAATTTGAATTACTTTTTTTCCCCCCTAATGTCCGAATACTGGAATTTCTTTGTCTCTCCATCAGTTGGCTTTTGTGGATACTCCCATATGCTGCGAGCCCATCCTAAGTAAATTAAGAGGGATCTAAAAGCAGCGATTGTGCCCGGGCCGGGGCCGGACGCGGGCTGTGCATAGCTGGTGTGCCTGACATGGCTGGCAGCTAAGGGGCTGTGAAAAGGCATGTTCTCTCATCTGAACCAATAATAATAAAATAAAAAAAGTTATTTTTAGCCCAGCAATACATACACACAAGGATTGCAATTTATGGTCCCCATATGGACTCTGAAGGTTCTTTTATGTGAAGAATCTCTGTCTCTCAATGTCAATACCAAATAAGAGAGTTCAAGTCAAGATGACAAAAAAGGAATTAAAAAAATATATTTGATTGTTTTGTCAGTGACCTCAAAGTGAGCACGGTTAAATCACTATTAAGACGTGCAGAACCTTCTTGCATCTAAAGACAAGACCCAATGGTAAACATGCAAATAAATACAACCGTATAAAAGCACAAACATTTAAACAACAACTGATACCTAAAATAAATGTTTAAAAAAAAATACTAATATAATACTATATTACAATAAATAATTACATAATTTATAATATTAATTACTCTTAATACTTACATAATTTATAAAATATAAACTGAAATTAAAAGAATAATATTTAAAATATAATATACACAAATATATAATATGATATTTTTAATGATAATAATAATTACATTTAAACAAACATTTAAAATTATAATCACATTGCTGTTGAATGACAAGCAGCATATTGACTAATATGGCATTAATAAAATCTTTTTTACTTTCTCCTGAATTGAGACGGTATGACCAACAGCTGTTTTACCTGGCCTTCTGCCCCATGTGAGGATCGAAACCCTGCTGATCCTGCCAATAAAACTTCATTAACTAGCATGCACCAGGACCTGCTAGCACATAAGCATATGGCAGCCCAAATCATCAACTCAAAAAACCTTTCAATGCTGCATTAACATTTTGCATAATGCAAATTTATAGCTCTTGTCCAGGCTATAAAAAGAGGGCGAACGTCTTGTCCTCAATATATACTAGTGCCAAACCGGATACAGTACTGTGCGCATTGAAATGTAATTAGCTGTGCATTTTAGCATGTATGGCCAAGCCTGCACAGAAGCTGTGTCCACAGAGTCCCATATATTTCAAACTAAAACCCCTTGCATTTTTTATATAACTTCATATAATATATATATATTGAATAAAATGTCATGTTTAGATTTTTTTAAACCAATTTTGCTCTTAGCAACCAAAACACATTATTTAAATCTGTTCTGGATAATTCTACATAATTTCATTTACATACTGTATATGTGATAGCAGAATATGAATACTACTCTGAGTATGTAAATTAAAATGCACTCCATTACATCTTACTACACACTCTCAACAAGGATTTGTATTTTTTTCCCATCCCATCTCGAAAACACTTGATTGACACCAAAAGTCAACAGAGTGGCTCTTAAACAGAGACACACTTCATGTTCTTGACGTTCATGGGGCACTTTAATGCAGACTAATAATCTAATGACGACAGCAGCGATGCTCACG